GTGAAGGTCAAGTTGATGACTTGGGAGAAAGTGAATGGAAAGCTTTGTCTTTAGAGAACATGGCAATGATGAAAGTCTTCCATTAACTCTAATTAAGATATCTGAAGATAGATCAAGAAGTCAAACAATGCAATCTCCCTTCTTCCCTTAAACAGCAAAGAGGAGTGGGGAAAAGAGCAATCTGCAGGAAGGTGTCAGAAGGAATCCTTGTCAGGTGCATAAAGGTTCCTCACCAAACTCTGTGGTGGGGGAACACCATCTCCCGAGATTAGCGTTTCAGGGTTTCAATGAAGGTGATAGATTTTCTCCACTCTGGTTGATACGTTTGAAAATGAGCATGCACACTTGAAAGATCTAGAAATCACTTTACAGAAGCATTCATGGTATATTCTATAGAATATCAGTTCTGTAAATGTGAACTAAGTGATTTTGAACTAAAACATTCCATGATCAAACAAGCTATGTGCCTTAGGTGATAGCTATGTGCCTTAGGACTCATCTCTGGTCTTTATCACTGGTAATATTTGACAATGAAAGCATTAAACATACAAACTTGGGGGGAATGCCCAAAGAAATTATCACTCAAGAAGATGTGGTTGGGTAATGGTTATTACACAGGGAGCAGTGATGGCTAGTCTGTCACCTAGAAGAGGCTGGAGAGATAGTTCAGCCATTAAGATCCCGGGCTGCTCTTGTAGAGGACCCAAGTCAGGTGACTCACAACCACCTGTCACTCCATCCCTAGGAGGATCTGAACTCTCAATGGGCATTGCACTCATCTTTACATAGTAATACACAGACACACATATCAACACAATGTTTAAAGAAAGTATTTTTTTCAAAGAAGTCACTAAGAGGTTAGTAAAAGAAACAGGGAGGGAGGGAGGGAGGGAAGGAGGGAGGGAGGGGAGAGAAAGCCAAAGGCAGAGATTGGGAAGTAGAGAATAAAAAGAAAGACAGAACTTGGCAACAGTGAACCGCTGACTCCAGACCTTGGCTTCCTGGAGCTTCCTTCCCTGAAATCTCGTCCTTCTATTCCGGAATTTGAACACTATTTTCCCAACAGATCTCTTATTTTTAGTTTTTCTTCTGCTTGTTTTTTCCTATGTTGGATTAAGCTGAGTTCTTTCAATGGCACAGTTCCTCACAGAGAATGGGTAGTAGGATTAGATGCTACAAGCTGCAGAGCCTAAAATGTAGAATTGCCTAAATCGGAATGGGGTTGTGGGTGTTTTCTTCAAAGAACATGACTAACTCTGGGTGAGGTGGAGCATATGTGTAATCTCTGCACTCACGGAGTCCAAGGCCCATTGAGGCAGCATAGCAAGACTCTGCCTCAAAGCAAATAAACAAACAATGGCTGTTAGGTTTCAGCTTTTGTTTTCCCTCCTCTCAATTCCACTTCCACAGAGCAGAAAAATCATTTGAAAGTCATTTCCTATTGTAACTCATTAAATATTCCATTTCTGGTTTTTGCACAGGAACATTTAGGGTGTGTGTGTGTGTGTGTGTGTGTGTGTGTGTGTGTGTGTGTGCATACACGTTCCTGTAGGTGTGTTCGTGAGGATGTGTAAGGCAGGGATCAGTGTCAGGTGTCCTCCTCTGTCACTCTCCACCTCCCTTTTTGAGACTGGGCCTCCCACTGAAATTGGAACTCATCAATTGGCAAGACTAGCTAACCAGTAAGCTATAAAGACCCATCTACCTGTCTTCTCCTCCACAGCACTGACCTTACAGACTAACACCACATGTTGGATTTGAATGTGGGTACTAGAAATCTAAACTCTCATGCACTTTACTTACTGAGCCCAGCTTTAGTCTTAATGACACTCCTCTGTGTGGTCATATTGTCGAGTCCATTGTAGAAGGCTATTTTAGGCCACCAACCAACTCCCAAAAAAAGACATGGAGACTTATTAATAGTTAAGAATTCTCAGCCTTAGTTTAGGCTTGTTTTTGGCTAGCTTTTTTTAACTTAAATTAGCCTGTTTCTCTTCATCTACATTTTGCCTTGGGGCCTTTTACCTTCCTTTCATTCTGTACATCCTACTTGCTTGCTTCCTCCATGCCTGGCTGGCAGCTGCCTGGCTGGCTATTCCCTGGCATCTTCCTCTCCTTCTCCCTCATTCTCTCTCGAGCCTATTCCTGCTCATTCTTTCTGGCAACCATCCCCATCTACCCCTCTGCTGCCTAGCTGTTGGCCATTCAGCTTTCTGCTAGACAAATCAGGTGCCTTAGGCAGGCAAGTTAAAAAACAATTGCAGCACATCTTTGCCTAGTTAAACAAATGCAGCATAAACAAATGTAACACATCTTTACATAGTTAAACATTCTATTCCACAACAGTACATGAACTCCATTTGTGTCCTGATGATTAGCCATACTGGTGAGATTTGCAACCAGCATGGAACAAGGCAGAGGCAGGATGCTCTCAAAAGTGTCTAAGACCATTACAGAAGGATCACCTCCCTGAAGGGCTGAGGAAGATCCCCATGGCACACTTTCAAACTGGTGCAGAGAGAGAACAAGGGCTTATACAGTGCCTGAGAGAAAAGTCAGGGCCAAAGAGATAGAGAGAACTTCACTATTTCAATGTCCTTCAAAGCTCCTTCCTGAGGTTCTACAAGCAGGCCATAACCTCACCCCATCTTCTTCTACGAGACAACACAGCAGGAAGGAAGCATCATACCTTCTCTGTAAACATTAGTTTATTAGTTCATGTTGAGGAAGGAGGCAGAGGCCAGCAGGAGACCTAGAACACAGGGCTCAACCCTGAGGCCAATAGCTCTGCAGCAGAAATGCAAGGGCTCAGTACAAATTCTAAGGTATTAGCCAAAAAGGTCTTTTTTAGTATCTGTTGCTAATATAGAAGTTAAAACAGAAAAATAAAGTCTGTCCATATTGTGTATATTGACACAGTTTGTGTATATTAATGGAACTCAAATCAGGCAACGATAAGGTTTTGTTTGTTTGTTTCTTAGAGGATTACAGAAAACCAATGTCTGCATCTCTCAATCACATTATCCTATTGTCATCAATGATTTCTATTTTATGTGTGTATGTATGTGTGTGTGTGTGTGTGTCAGAGAATGTATGTGCACATATATGTGCAGAGGCCAGAAGAGAGCATCCGATCTCTTGGAGCTGGAGTTCCAGGTGTCTGTAAGCTACTAGACAATGACAATTGGATTGAGAAGCAATTGGCCTTAACCATTGAGCCATCATCTCTCCATCCCCTCATCAATCATTTATTATTTAACAGTATTGAATATTTTCTGTGTCCAAGGCCTCACACTAGGACACTTGGGAACTGCTAAGAGTAAAGCAAAGAAGTGTGTCTCCAGAAGACTGAAATACAGATGGGATGTCTTACAAAGTGACACAGCTCACACTGCACCTGACTGTAGTCAATGGATGGACAGAAACTCCTCAGTCCTGTGGGGAGAGATAAGGAACCAGGCACATGGACATTCACACGCAACTGGAACCAAGACTCGAGCATGATGCTAGGAACTTCCAACAAATGAGAATCCCAGGGGGACCCCAGACTTTGCTCTTTTCTTCATTTGCTTTGAATAAGACCCAGTAGAATCTACAATATCTCTATTTAACCAGCGGACGCATCTTGATCCAAAACCAAACAGAGACAATTTTACATCATCTGCCATTCCTATGGGAACCATCATTTACTTCACTCACTGAAACACCTTTGGCTGGGACACAGAGAAAATGAAGAAGCAACCCCAAAATCTAAATTCCAACTTGCATTCCCAAAAACCTTTACACAAACTTTCCCCTCATGACATTGTTATATTGAGGCCTGTATAACCTGAGAGCAACAAGATACAAACAATTCAAATGTGACATCTGTGTTCCAGGGGAAAGTGACAGAAAAGAGATGTTAGTGGGATTTATCAATTACAGCTTTGGAAAGGTAAGCGTGGCGAATCTGGCTCTTCCTGGCATTAGACAGGTGTCATTTCAGAGCTGGGAGTTGTCTCTGTGAGTCAGATGAGAATTCACTAGAGCTGTCAGGAAGCAACAAGAATTACTAGTTAAACCTTGTCTCAGCACCACACCTACTCATCAGAATAAATGGTGGGCCAGTACCACCTCCAACAACACTCAGATAAAGACCAACAACACTGCTTGACCCATCAGACTTCTGCAACCTTTATGTGACCCAATTTATCTTTTTTCTGCTACAGGAGACTATTCCCATTTGTTCCATATCTTCTTTAACAGGGGCTACAATAGCTTTGAAGACTAGATCCTGCAATGAAATGCTTACTCTTTCTCAAAACCCAAGCCAGTCTCTGGGTTATACCACACTTCTCGTATTCAGTTCTCACAGTCAATCAGGCTTAAGTATGTGCCACACACACTTGCTTCCCATCTTCTTCCCCCTCCTTTCCCCTTTCCTTCTGCTTTTTCTCTTTATCATATGTGTCTAGTCTGGGTTGAATTTGTCCCTGAATATCTGTGGATACTATGTCTTCCTGTCTCCACAAATCCATCCCACACAATACACCTTAATTTTGTTGAGCTCAATAGGCTTTTTCCCCCTCAATATACTTTTAGAAGACAAAATAAACATAAGAAGTCATGGGACATTTGTGTCAATGGAATAGGCTAAGATTTAATACGGGAACCATAAAGGACAGTTTGATACATCAAAAAAGGATGATAAATTGAAAAGCATGATAAATTAAGTTAAAATGTTCTATTTGTCAAAAGATCATTAAGGGAGTGAAATAACTAGGCATGCAGTATATATGGAGGTGTAACGACAATCAAAATATATTTTAGAAAATTCCAATAATAAATAATTTAGCTTACCTATTAAAAGTTAAAAATAAGGTAGGTAATTTAAAGTTAAATGAAGGAAAATTGGAAGCTGGAGAGATGACTCCATGGTTAGGAGCACTGAAAGCTTTTCCAGTGGACCCAGGTTCAATTCCTATCACCCACATGGTTGTTCACAACCATCTGTATAATACCTTTCCAGGAGATCCAGTGTTTCTTCTGGCCTCTGTTGGTACCAGGCATATTCATGGTACACAGACATTCATTTGGACAAAACACCTACAAATGTAAAAAAAATAATTTAAATGAAATAACATTGCCAGTAAATCTAGAAAGGAATATGCAACTCCATTTGTCATCAGTAAAACCAACATGAATAGTGGAGTGAGTACCTTACAAGGTGTATCCATACATCAGACATCATATCTATTCCATAAATGTGCACTGTGCCTGTGCACCAGTTAAAAACAAGAAAAAAACCCACAATGAATTTTAACTGTGAGCCCCACCAGAAAAGCCAAATTGAAAGCACAGTCCATATGGAGTGATAGAACCAGGGCAGAGTAGCTGGACTGCAGAAACCTGCTCGTGGAGTGAACTTCACTCTGTCATCTGGGAACACTGGTCCATGCACCACCCTGTATCCAGAAACATATCCCCAGGTATGACCTAAGCAGAAATGTGCAGATATTCAATAAAGCACAAACATAGGCAAGGCCAGTTGGTCAGCTTTGTTTGAAACAGCCAAGTGCTCATTCTAAAGGTATGTTAAAATGGCAATGCGTAAAGACACGGTGATGTCATTATGCCAAGCAGTGTGAATGAGAGGTGTGAAGAAAGCATTACTGTGTGCAGCAACATGAACTGAGAAAAACAACCCAGAGGACAACAACCAGCACAAGAAGGTGTTTTCTGGAGGGTTCCGTTCATCCTCTGGGCACAGACAGAGCTAATCCATGTCTGGATTCAGGCTGGCATCTCCCCTAAGGGAAAGAGTGACTGGCCAGGTTTGGAAGAGTGACATCTGGAGTAGCTGGAACATTTTGTTTCTCCCTGTAAGTGCTGCCAACATGGGTCTATTCACCTGGCGCTAATTCTCCAGGCTCCACACTGGTGCTCTATGCCTTTGCCTATATATAGCTTATATTTCGGTAGAAACCAAAACAGAATGACATGTTTTCTTCTTACTATTCAGTAATCTTCATTGAGGTTTCATGACCTGTCAATCCCAAGCTTACACGCACACACACACACACACACACACACACACACACACACACACACACATGCACGCACACATACACAGGCACAGGCACACGCATACACTCCCACACACAGTCTTTACTTATGCAGTGTCCCCATATAGAAATGCTCTTCACATCTACTGTGGTAAACCACACCTCTTTAACACAGCATAATGAAAGCCACTAATTTGCTACTAGCAATCCTATTTAAGACGAAGCTCCTGGGCTGGGCAATGGTGGTGCACACCTTTAATCCCAGCACTCAGGAGGCAGAAGCAGGAAGATTTCTGTGAGTTCCTGGCTAGCGTAGTCTAGAGAGCTAGTTCCAGGACAGCTAGTTCCAGGACAGCCAGGGTTGTTACACAGAAAAACAATGTCTCCAAAAACAAGACAAAACAAAACAAAAGGCTACTGTCCTGGAGTAACTATCAAAAAGTTTAAATGGTTAGAACATTTCTCTTACTTTTAAAGAAAGGATGTTTGGTTAGCTGGTTGGCTGGTTGGTTGGTTGGTTGGTTGGTTGGTTGGTTGGTTGGTTGGTTGGTTGGTTGTGGGAAGAGGTTTGAAAGATGGCTCAGCACATAAAGGCGTTTGTCACCAAGCCTAACAGCCAGAGTTTGATCTCCAGAACCCACGTTGTGGAAGGAGAGGACCAATGCCTGCAATTTGCCCTCTGACTTTCATAAGCATGTTGTGTACAGTACCCTACCCTACCCTACCACCACCCACATACACCCATACACACAAGTAAATAAATGTAACCAAAGTGAATAATAAAAATGGTTTTAAACATACTTAGTTCCAGAACGAGTTTCTAGTGGCTTGATTTTTCATATATCTTGCAAGTCTTCAGAACATTAAATGTGGCATCTGATTAAGTTATGTCCATATAACAAATAAAGCTGGCACAGAAGGGAAATTAGAACTGATGTCACACACTGTTTGCTCTTGAGAGCTCAGCTGGTTGGAAGCACAATGGTTACTGGGTACATTGTGTTTCATCAGTGTTGCCCAATGAGAATGGGAAGTGATCAGAAATCTGGGTATTTGTAGGCCAAATCTGAGTGCTTTTCCTATATATCACTTGTTAAGAAAACTCTCAAACACATCAGATACACTAGCAAAGACTTCAAATCAACAATGGGAACAAGGACAAGTTCTCTTGGTTTCCTTAACACTTAGTGTACATTTAATCAGGAGATTGAAAAGGCTGAGGGTTAAACCACACAGATCTTATGGAATTAAAAAAGCCAGCATGAATATTCAGACACATACAGCATCCTTACCATGCAAATGTTTCATCCAAAACTACACAGGAGAGTCCCCTCCCTAGCATCAAGCCCTGGTGACAGTCTTCTCCCTGCTACCCTCAGGGAGTTCAGTGCTGGCATGGCCACAGAAATCTGTCTCCTAGTCATTAGTCAGTCCCTTGACGGGGACATAACGGGAAGAAAGAGGACCTAATGGGATTAGAAAAATGAAAAAGTAGGCTGGAGCCAAGGATGACATCAGCCTTGTGGGGAGGCCAGGAGGTGATGGGAAAATACTGCAAGAAAGGACATTCTTCATTCTTGTCACCGTGAGAAGAGCCATCCATCTTGATGCTGGATTCCTTGCCACGGGCTAAATGTAAAATTTAAAAAAGCCCTTTCCATTAAATTGCCACTTAGCATTAAATACTTAGAAGAGAAAAAAAAAGACCAGAGATGAAATTGTGACCATCTAGCTAGCCAGTTCCCCAGCAAGGTAGGCAGAATTCCCTTGTGTCTGTGACTCTGACTATGGTCACTGTGTCCTAATGGAGTCCGCAAGGAGCAACTTGACCCAGCATGGCTAGCAACAGGGGGATTAGACCAAGTGCTTTTCCATCCAAGGCACCTTTAAGTAACATTATGGGATTAGAAGCCTTATAAAGAATATAATTCCTCTAGCTGGTTCCTCTTACTTTTTCTAAAACAAGAGCGGTATGTTAGATTCCAAAGCCCCAGGACAGAGGTACATCATTCGATTCTGCTTAAAACAAGGACTTTTATGAGATTATGTTACATGGATAAAATCCTTCATAATCATGTTTTAGCTGTTCCAGCAAATCTCCGAGCCTGGTCCACATACTTGCTTGTCACAAATGGAGACAGATGAGGAACAGAAGCAAATACAGTTAGAAGAGGGTGAGAGCCGGCAGTGGGGCAAGGGGCAGAGGAGGCTGAGTAGTTCAGTTGGTAGCGCACTTCCCCAGCATGTACGAAACCCTGAATTACACTCTGAGAACCACAGAACCTGGAGGTTCAAAGTCACCCACAGCTACATAGTGAGTTCCACACCAGCCTGGGTGTGAGACGCTATCCTAAACAGAAAAGGGGATGGCGGCAATGCAAAGGCTAACGTGATGCAGCAAGTAGCAGATCCCTTTCTCCAGAACCTGCTTGTAGCAGAGTCCATAAATCTCTACCACTACAGCCCAAAGCACAGACTCACAAAGCCTGAAGGAGGCCTGCCTCAGTGCCACTCTGCTTGCTGGGACCCACACACTCCTCTTTTGGCAAGATCCACACTGTCCTGTCAGGTTGCCTGAGCAAACAGCTCTGTCATCCACAGCCCTGTTGCAAAGGGCTGTGAATCCCAAACTTGTTTTACCTTTCAGTCATTTTCAGCCATTTTTTAAATCACCCCTTTTCAAAATGCACACACGCATCCAACCTGTAAAGGGCGTTTCTCCAGTTGAAGGGTCTGGGAAGACAAAATACCCAGGCCTCTCCGTGTCTCCTCTCCTGGCAGTTTCTGGAGACACTGTGAGAGAAGCCTGGTTTCTCATGGCACATGAAACGTCTGACAACAAGCAGTCTGGCAGAGACACTGGCAGGGAGGTGGAAACAGCTGGCCTCCAATGGCAAATCAATCCACGCCCTGGCTCCATCTCACCCCAGTCACAAAAATAAGCAAACAATAAATGCCGGAGGCAACGCAGGAGAAGGAATCACTGGGAACATAAATTGGTAAGTTGTGGCAGGAACATAAATTGGTAAGTTGTGGCAGGAACACAAATTGGTCAATTGTGGCAGTCGGTGTAGGAAGTTCCCAGACCACTAAAGACAGAACTACCTCGTCACGATGTCTTTACCTTGGTTGTCAGCCTGACTGGGTGTGGCATCAACTGAAACACAGGCTGCTGAGCACACCTTTGAGGAACTGCATGGACCAGCTTACATGAAGTGGGAAGACCCACCCTAACTGTGGGCAGCCTCTCCAGGTGGCAGCCCCGATAAAGGCAATGGAAGTTGGAAGGTTTTTGCTTCCGGCCTGCTTCTTACTGGCAAGTTCATCTGTCCTGTCACTGTCATTGCTGATACTAGGATCCAGCTTCAGGATTCCAGGGTAGACTGGAGATGAACCAGCAGCTCCAGGAATCTTCCAGGCCTTTAGCTCCAGCCTAGGATTGCTGAGACACCAGCCTTGTGGACTGAGAATCTATGGACTACTTGGACTACACCATGTCGCTCAGTTTAATGACTATCTATTCTGTTCCTGGAAGGAAGCCTGACCCTTGGCATGGAAACATGAATGGAGCTGGAGGATGAGCTATTTCTTGAGCAAAGTGAGTGAGATACAGAAAGACAATCATCACATTCTAGCCAGTATGGAAATTGAAAAGAAGACCTGAAAGGAAAACAGTGACTATTAGGAATTGAGAAGGGATAGGAGTGATGACAAGAAAGGGTAGAATGGGAGATGAATATGAACAATACATGACCAGCACATACGTGGGAATGTCACAGCAAAACCCACTAATCTGGGCAATCCCCGTGCATTAGTGAAAGCAAAGTAGGGTCACCCTCTGAGCTCCTAGGGCCTGGGCCATCAGGAGACAATTGAGGTCAATAGCTCAGCTGCTGTTTGAGAATGTACAAATTTTATTTTACCACTCACAATCCCACCTTGGAACTATGGCTATGTTTAAAGACACTGCTCAGAGTATCAGAGGAGCAGGATACCAAATCTAGAATATTCTGAAGGACAAATGACTTCCATGTGGAAAACAACGAAAGCTATGATAACCTCAGTTTTCCTGGGGTTTCTGGTAAGTTGAACTCTCAGCTCTCAAAGCGAGGATGGACACATGCTAGCCTCTTGAAAGGTAACTGGAAGTGACGTTTCTGTGGGCTGAAGCAGGGAATCCCCAGCAAAACGCCACAGCCCACTGACTGGTGTGTCTTCCAGGCACTTCCAGCCTGCTCTCACTGAGGGGACAGCAAACATAATGAAGTTGGAAGAACAGGAAGACAGGCTAATGGATTACAGAGACATGCCCAGCCAAAGTCAAGAATACTGGGGAAAGCTGAGTGGAGAGAGCATGGATAACACCATGTACATCCAGATGTTGTCTGTTCCTTGACCCCCCAGGTCATCCGAACATGTCCTTTGAGAGTAGGGATGCAGTGCAATGATTAAGCATGCATGAGGATCACAATCTGACCCCTGTAAGTGACCATCTGGGGTGGTCTTTGACAAGAAAGAGGACCTCACAGCAAGAACCTATGGGATTCTGGTATGCCCCGATTTTGTGACCAGAGAACAAAGTGCTCCAAAGCAAAGCCTTGAAAACTCACTCTGCAAAGTTTGAGTTCTCACAGTTTCTGATAGTTTCATAGAACACCCACCCTTTGAGTTCTCACAGTTTCTGATGGTTTCATACCCTCCCTACCAAGGTCAAAGAAATTCATAATCGGCCACCCAAAATCATATGACCCAAGGTAAGCCTTCAAACAGTAATTTTATTTTTTCTTCTTTAATGTTTTCTTTATGCCTCCATTCTACCCCACCACTGTACCTTCAGATCACCTACCGAGTAGGCAATTGGCCTATTCAGACACACTCGAAGGTTTGCATAAATATAGGGTCTGGCCTTGGAGAAATACAATGATCTTATTATGGGCTTGGGTTTGTAAGGTCACCTTTCTTCTTGTATATTTGTCTTGCATTTAGAGGAAGCAGGTCCCAGCAATGTGCTTGCTTTGGTTTTGTGGTTTAAATTGTGTGGTCTCCCATTATGATTAGAGAGGGCAGGTTTCTCTCCTCTTCATTGAGTCTTTATTCTTAAATGAGCATTTTAAGGCTGTAGAGAGGGGTAGATAGATAGAGCTCTTGCTCCACAAAAGTGAGGGCTAGAGTTCAGATCTTCAGAAGCCATACTCAGTCTGCAGGGGTGGCAGCCACCTGTCATCCCGACACTCTGGTGAGATGACTGGTTACACCAGCAGGAATTGGTAAGCTCCAGGTTCATGGAGAGGCCCTGTGTCGATGAACAAAGAGGTGAGTACTCAAGAAAGACACCCGCTGCATATGTGCACACATGCATATGCTTGCACATGCACGCGTGCACTTGCACGGGCACACACTCACACACAGACAATGGAAACACAAAACATTTTATTGAGGGGAAAAAAGTCCTAATGTCATTAATTGCTGCGAAAATTTAGATAAAAAATGGATAGAAAGAAAACAATCGCCCACATATAGTCCCCTACTTACCACAAACGTCATTGCTCATTTAGAAATGGTCTGTAATATTTAATAACAATTCTGGGAACTGATAGATTTATCCCAGACTGTCTCCAAGTTGATGTAATAATTACAAATAGATCTCTTGATTCGAGAATGGCTCTCCTCAGTAGTCCCTTGTTCTGAAGCTTTCAGTCACTTCACTAGGTATAAAGAATAAACACCTTCCAGCAATAGCTTCTCCTTTACAGGCTATATCCCCCTAAAGACAGGAATATAATAGCCAGAGGCTAGCTGAGCTCTCACACCTTCTGGCCATCTTTATCTTTTTCCCTACAATGCTCACAACTCTAAGGAGACTTCTGCCTTCCATATTTGAAAGCAGAAATTGCTTTTCTTCACCATTCAGCCATAATAAGAAAGAAACCATATGCTTGTAGTGGGTATCAATATTAGCAGAAAGAAACAACAACAACAACAACTTAATTTCCCTTTATGAACTAAGACCCCTCAGGTTCCCAGTGGCATAGGGCCCCTAAATTCAGAAACAGCAATATCCTTAATCAAGCTTCTCGAGCTCAAACCAGCTTCCAGCTTCCTTCTTTTGATGATTACCCACTCTAAGTTTCCAAATCCATTTAGCAGAATCATTCAAAACCCATTGAAACATAGCATAACAGTTTTAGACCACAATGGGAGGTCATTTCACCCAGAGTGTTTAAAATCAAGGTCAAAGCTACTGGGCATGTCTTCTTGCCACCCGTGTGGTTTCCTGACACTCACAGTGACTGGAGGGCACAGTGCATTGGAGTCTGCTAACTGTACCTGGTGTTACTCATCTACAAACAGCCAAAACAAAGGCACCTAGGCTGCACAGCTCCATTCCTGTAACAGCTTGATGACATGGAGTAGTGGGATTTGCTCAAGTTGTTGGGTTTGGATTACCTCACTCTGCCTAAATAGATAGAAAGATAGAAAGAAAGAAAGCAAGAAAGAAAGAAAGATAGATAGATAGAGATGTAAATAGGCTTTCCTTCCCTTAAGCCTCAGTTTGCTTTTTTTTCTGTGTATAAAGATGAAGTTTAAAAAGCATCCCAGGGGTATCTTATTGAGAGTCAAGACCCTGGATTTGAATCTTTATTCTGACACTTTTGACCTGATTGGCTTTGACTAGTGACCTGAGCCTCCAGCGATCACTTTTCTCATTGCACTGTTGCCTTTCCAGGGTGTAAGCATTGATGAAACATACACACACACACACACACACACACACACACACACACACAAACACACACACACACACACACACACACTCCAAGCTTGGTGCTGTGCCGGAGTTCAGTTCCCTTCCCCCTTGAATGTAGTCATCAGAGACTTGCCAGAAAGATAGAATTGTGTCTAGTTTCTCTGGGCTTTTTAGAATAGTAGTTCTCGAAGCCCTGGGTAAGCACATAAAAGCCAGCACAGTGGGGAGGCCACTTAAGCAGAGCTGGAGATGAAAGAGTTAATAGTGTCCTTTAGTCCTGACTCACTTTAGTTCAGTCATTCCTGGAGAGACTCTCAAATATCAGACAGAGCATAACAGACAAGGCAATGCCATCATGCCCTCACTAAGTCACAGGCTCATAACAAATTAAATGACTGTCAATGTAAATCACATAATTTTAAAGTAGTTTACTATCTAGTTACAAACCAAAGAGCTCACATGTAAGATCCTTACAGTAGAGACAGCCTCTGCTTTGTCCATGTATTTGCCCTGAGCACCAAATCTGAAGTCTCATGTGTGTGTTAGTATGTTTTCTATTGCTGGGATAAATACCATGACCAAAAGCAACTAGGGAAAGGGTTTATTTCATCTTATAGTTTATAGTTCATCATGAAGGGAAGTTAGGGCTGAAAGTCAAGGTCAGAACCTGGAGACAGGGACTGAAGCACAGGCCGTGGAGAAGTGTGACTTACTGGGTTCCTCTTCAGGAGCACATTCAGCTACCTTTCTTATATCTCCCAGCCCCAAGTGCCCAGGGTTAACAACTCCCATATCAACTGTTAATCAAGAAAGCACCCCATAGACTTGCCTGCAGGCCAGTCCAATGGAGGCATTTTCTCAAATGAAGTTCCCTCTTCCCAGACACTAGCCAGCATGCCCTTCATTGCCAAAAAAGTGTTGTGCCTGTTAGCACACAGTGGCTGAAAACTTAGCCAGACACTGTTCAAAGCAGCAGAAAGCTGCATGAAGCAAATGCTGATTGATTCACTCCCCTGGTGTGGAATATTACTTTAAGATGTGTGACATTCCTTTATGCTTGGAACATTTGTCTAAT